GCAAGTATCACGAATATGGAAAGAGTCGGTGAGGCTGTTAACCTGTTGTTACGACGACACGCCTCCGATCGACGTAACGAGTAAACGCGCTGTTTTGACAGTGCTTGAGCCAAAAGTCGGATCATATCCAAAATGAGTGATACACCTTGGTAAGACAAGTGATGTCTAGAGAACAACCAAGTGGAGCTACCTATGTACAGTACCTCTAGTAGAGGGGGCCACCTTATGTGGAATCCTTCAACTGAAAAGAGTAGAATTATATTGGATTTAGATCTAAACTGCATAGGAGTTAGATGGTAAATACATTGAATTAATTAGAATTAGGTTTGCATTGAGTCGAAATTGAACTAGGTTACATATGGAGTTTACCCAAAACCAAAGTAGAAGTGAAATAGAACTAACAAACATAATTGAAATAGAATTAAATAGCTTTGAATTTGAAATCAACTGGAAGTGAGATAGAACCAGGTCACTTAGGAGTTGCAACTCCTTGCCTTCTGGTTCTGATGCGCTGACTGAACTGCGCTCAATAAGAGCAACACAAATCAACCATGCTGAATGTTGAATACAGTGTTCCCAGGCAAGTGACGTTCAGGATCGGGTGCTCGGCGGTGTGGTAATGCCGGCCGGAGAGTCACTTTTGAACACAAGTTTTAGTTCACTTTGGAACACAGGGTTTTACTTCACTTTGGAACACAAAAGATGCGTCACTTTGGAACGCAAAACACCCAAAAACATGGAAGGGTTAACAAAAAGCGAGATCACTTTGGAACACAACGCACCTGGTTTTTTGAGTCACTTTAGAACACACACTCTGACACTTGTATTCAGTTAACTCAGTTCCCAGGTCGAAAGGAATGAGGGAACCGCAAGGTGGAAAGGTCAGCGCAACAGAATTGTTGAACAAATTGTTTGTGCGTGACTGCAGTGGCAAACTCGCGCGCAGTTGGCTGCAACTCGCAAACGGTGGAGAACTGCGGTGGAAAAAACTTGTTTGTGGGAGGGTATCGTGAAGAAGAACCATGGAAACAAAGAACAGCAGCAGGGCGGACCATTGGTGTCATTGTGTTCCAAAGCAGGTACACACCGAGACGTCTCTCGGTGCTTCCCCTGTCGCATCCTAGCTTCGTTGGGCCAGGTTGGATGTGACAGGCCTGGCCCCCCCTGCGTGTGGAAAGTGGGTGAAACGGTGGAAGGTACCCTTTGTCCAGGGGTGGACACACACA